GGGGGGGGGGTGGGGGGGGGGGGGAAGGGGGGAAATGTGTTTTTGTTGCTGTTATAAAGACAGGACAAATTGTTAATAAAAATAAGCTGGTAGGGTGACTGCATCTTGTGTTTGTTGTCTGGAATCCCCTGCTGTTGAATGCACTGTTGTAGTAATGCTTTGGGACAGAAGGAGGCTGTCTAGACCCATCCACCCATGTATCTGGCTTTTGTAGTTGGTAATGTCTTTCCTTTTGAAGCACTTGCTGGGTTTGGAGGAATATGTTCCCAATCGCAGGTTCCCTTGCTGTCCTTAGAGTTGATTATAGGCAAGGTTGATGGATTATGATATGAGCCACAATCTAGCATAAACGTCCCATCAATTCTGGATACCACCAGAGGCTTTTATGTCAGTATCTAGCTCTGCAAGATGCTGAAAGGGGTTTACTTCCATCCCTTTAACTGTGCTATGCCCTGGGGAATTCAGTTTGGTAGACGAATTTCTATTTCTGATTTTTCCTATCATTACTTAGTTTTCAGGACTCCATTCTCTACCTTGTTCCTTTTGAACCCTTGTGGGGCAAGTATCAGCTTTGTATCTGTTCTGGAAGGCCTCTGCCTTCTTTCACCTCCTGCTTAGTACTCTCTCTTATGAGGTACGCAGACCTGAATTCCCACGTGACTTCACTGAACCCCTGTTTCGTTCTCTTTTCCTGCTTTTTTGTTTTTTCTTTCACTTCTTCTATTTTTCTTCTTCCTCTGTCTTTCATGGTCCCTCAAACTGAGAGCAAGGCTTCACTTTCAGTCTCTCGAATCCTCTGCATGCTCACCTTGTGATCTACGCTCTCTCTGTGAGATCTGGTCAATATAAGCTTAAATGCCAACAGCAGTGTTTTCTGCAGGAACTAACTGCCCTTCTTCAGGTACATCTAACAATTTTTTTCTAATTACGTGTGTGATATCTATAAATGAATAAAAATCTGTGATTCTTTTCCTGCAACTACCAGTAAAATAGTTACTAGTTACTGGATAGTGTCCGGATAGTGTTGTATTCTACGACCTGAACCTAGCCATGCTTAGGGAGCCTAAAGACTGGTGTTTAAACCACCGCATTGTCTTTTCTCTTGTGACTAGTGAAGCAGCTGGCAGGCTGTTACTGTAACTAACTGTGCTGGGGCCAGTGATGGACTGCGGCCGCCTTTATGGTGAGAAGGGTGAGAAGGTTGAATTGTCTCTCTTGTACCTTTTCATAGATAATTTGATCACTTGTCCTGATTCAAAGTAGTCATATTTTAGTCTCAAAAACCCTCTATGAAAGACCTTCTGCTCTTCCCATAAGCTGTGGTGGGGAGTTAGTGCTGTGTTGTAACGTGCTGCATTCTCAAACAGTGGAGAAAGGGTGGCTGGTTCTCTGCAAGAGTAAATCCAAAGTTAGAAAATCCCAAAGATTGCTCTCATTTGCTGTGCTCTCATTTTTCAAATGCTTCAGTGCCTGTGTCGCCTGTGTTCTTGTCAGCATTTACAAGCAGAATCACTGTCCCCAAAGTGGTGCACTATATTAGGTTGTGCGTAATGCTGTGTCAGCCTGGCATCTGGATTAGCTTGTCAGAGCTGGCTTGGGTATTTCTAAACAAAGTAATATGCCCAGAGGGTGTTTTTGAGTGTCCGTGAGATTTTTTTCTACAGAAAATAGAATACAAAATGGTTGGCCTCTGGAGAGGATAGTCCCTGCAGTGTATCTCAGAAGTGAGCTGCATTCCCCTCTCTCAGACTAGTCTACGCTTATATCTTGCGAATATCTTGCTTACTGAGATCCTATGGCTTTTTGTATGACTGCTCCAACGTGTCTTATAATGTAGGACAGAAGTAATGAAAAACATGCAATTATATAATCTGCTCTGTATGTTGCACAGATCTCTTGTGGGCCTGCCCGTTTACCTTACTGTCTGTGGATCTTATGCGTTGAACTGTGTAGGAACAGACTATTCATCACCTGTAACGCTGAAGGAGGTATCCAATAAAATGTACATCAGGAACAGATCCATATTCCAGTTCTAGTTCCTTCTTTTGCTTAATATACCAATGAATCTACGAATACATTCTTCCTCTATAAACTCTGACAAATTTTGCAGTCCGACTGTGAAATGTATTTCTTTGTGCTTGGATGGAATGACAGTTTTTTTTTTTTTTTTTCTTCCATTGAAACAATGTCTTTCTCCCTCCCCCAACCTTCGAAGAAGAATGGTATAAATAACGATATTAGAAGAAACTTGTGATTCTGGGCATCTAGAGGTTGTTCTCCACTGACAGTGGTATGTCTTACAAGTAGTTCATTATGGTCAAAGGATGTTACCAATATGTGACATCCTGTCTAAATGCACAGAACAAGTGGTGCTGGAGTTTTACATACTTCATGCAACAACTTTCTAGAAAGAGAATTACCAAAGAGTTAAAGATAATCCAGAAATCCATAATGTTTACTTAATTAGCGCAAAGGGCACTGCACTTAGTGCAAAGCACTGCACCTCCAGAGCTTTGGTTTACTGTTCACTGATTATGTCACAACCAATCTTTAATTACTTCATCTGAAAATTATTGTGTCCTATTCTCTTGTGTCCTATTCTCATGACTATCTCCTTCTAGTGTCTCGCAAATGTCCAGGCACAGAGGACTTTAGCTATGTTCACTAATTTCACCTAAAGCTGGCCTGGACTTGGAAATATTGATTTTGATTTTTTTTTAATTTGAAAAACATTGACTAACAAATATGGCTCCAAGAAAATCCATATCTAATGATTCTCTTAATATTTGTGAAATATGGAATCTAGTGCAGACTGGATTTGAATTCAGCTGCTGTCATTTCACTTAAGTTTTTAATTCCAGAGGTTTGATTCAACACTCTTAGACAAGGAGCACTGCAGCTGTGTCTCTGAGCTTTGAGCCTTGGTCAAGTCAAGTCAACTTAATCAAGTCTAGTTAACCAGAACACATTTTACTTGGATCCTTTTCTGGTCCACATACTTTGTCTGTACAGTATCGTCCCAGAGATGCAGGTGGATAGAGACTGCACATGACTTTAGTCGTTGACCAGTGTGACTGTAAATTTACTCAAACCTGAGGTAAAGTAAGGAACATAGAGGCACTATTTTCCTCTGGCCATATTAAAGTGGAGCATCATGCTGCATTCACAGGAAAGAGAATGAGGCTGAACCAGTAGTTGAACAGCTGTGCTGTGATTTTTTACTTACCATAGTCGTTTCTGCAATTGAACCAAAGCTATTGATGAAAATGTTGCAGCTGACATTCACTGGTGGGCCTGCATGACAAATACAGATTGGATCAGTAGTTCAGCCTGTGCTTATAAGACAAAGTATTCCCACCCTGCAATGTTAAATCCTGTTGTGAGAATAGCATGACTGAGTGGCAAGTACTGGCATGAGCTCTGGACCCCAGGCTTAGTCTAGTCTTAGCTCTAATGCCAGTTTGACGTCAGACAATGGTAAGTACAGTATTTCTTTCACCTTATTTCCCTCATTTGGGAGAGTGTTTGCATACTTCTCATTTTGTTTATTTATTTTTTTGATGAAAAGGGATAGGTCAGAGCTAGGCAGAACAGGTCAGCTTCCTAGATATCTCAAAACTACGATATGGATGCTAAGTTCACCTTGAACCCAATAGCGTCAGGAAAGAGCCAAGAGACTATTGAAAGGCTCTGAGTGTTTAGAGCTCTGTAACTTTTAGATGCTAAAAACTATTATTTAACTGGTGTGTCTGAATTAGGACCCTAGGCTCTGTAGGGAGCCTGTACAGGGCCATCCAGAATGCATTGTAGGGATCAGGCTGGGTAATGGAGTGTCACCCCATATGATGACAGTTGTTTGCTGTGACTTGCAGCTGTATAGGAGGCTTTGGTGCTAAGCCAGCAGAAATTCTTGGCTGTCGTGTTTTGGGAGAGGTTATTCCCAGATTTGAGGCTGTGCATCTCTTCTTGGGCTCTATTTGTTTGTGAACTGAAGCTTTCCTTGGCATGTTCGTATTAGAAAGGACAAGGAGCCACCAAAGCAGGAGAATAAGGTTTAAAAGGATGAATATGGTTAGAGAGAGTGCTTGAGGTTCAGTCTATTCATGGGATACTGGTTCCCAGTAATATTGATAGGACTGAATGTGAACCACAATATTGACTGGTAAATTTGAGGTGGTTGAAATGCTGCATTTGGAACTAGGAAGATGCTGGAAGCTGCACATAACAAGACAAAAAGCTGGAGAACAGTTTGGAACCAGAGCCATATCTCGTCTTCTATGCCTGGGAGAAGAGTTACCTACCCACTTTTAACAAACGGATTTCTCTAGAGCTTCAGCAAGGGGAGCTGAGAAGCAAAAGAGGCTCCTGCTCTGGAGCTGTTACAGCTGCCCAGTGTGTGGTGGGGAAGGGGAGTCCTGGCAGAGAAGATAGGGCTGTGGGAGAAGAGAGCACAGAGGATACTGCCCCAGGGAGCAAGGCAGTATCTCCCTTTAACGGTGGAGAATTAGTCCTGTAACATCCACGTGACAAATGTGTCTTGGGAGAAACAGACCTGTGGAAATGGAAAGTGTAGACTTTTAGATTATTCCTCCATCCTTTATGGGGACTAGGATGTTGTCTGCATTTCAAGCCCTGTCTGATGGCTCAGCCTTACTCAGGGGAGGCGATGCTTGCCTGTTGAGGCCGCATCTGCGGTCTGGCAGCTGCTGTGATATGAAATACTTATGTGGGGACCAATGGCTTTAACGAGAGACTTGTGTCTGTAATCAGTGCAAATTTCCTTGTGTGGAAATTAATGGAATTTCCTGATTACGAAGTAACACTTTGAGCCTGGTTTATTCCTCTTGGTTTTTCTTCCCTCCTCTCCCGTTTTAGCCTCCTTTGAAACTTTGTACCTATCCACTGTGGGAGTAAGATCACAGCCACATAACAGCTGTGTAATGGCCTGGGATTTTCTCAGTACAAGTCCCAGGCAATCCAAGCAGATTTCTGTCTAAACAGCTTCCAGATCGTCCTCTGCCAACTCGGCAGCAGTTCACAGACTGTCCAATCTGCACAACCCCTTCTCCAGACTATTAGACACAGTCATGGGCTAAAACATGAGATACAAAGTGGTGTATATTCATTCCCCCCACCCACCTTCACCTGCTCTTCTTATCCAACAAGCTTGTGGCTGGCAGGCCTTGTTTTAACCAGCCTATGTAATACAGATCTGGATCTAATCAGTCTCTCAGCTGATGGATAAACTTGCAGCATGAAACACATCTGATCAGGCTTTAGTACTTGCTTTACCCCTTCTACGATATTTCTGTCGAGCTGATGAGGAAGAAGTTATTTCTCTGCAAACAGAGAAACAGAGGTCCATGTGCATGCAGTCTCCCCTCTCAAGGGGCTCAGCATAAGGAATGCTGAACTAACATCCTAAATGACTGCATATGCTCATGCCTCTGACATGAGTGTAGGATTTTGGCCCTGCTCTGCTTGATCCTGTGCTGAAGTGCACTAGTGAAGCTGAGTATGGGATGAGTTTGGCCCAGTGCAGGGGAAGAGAGCTTCCCCCTCGGTGCCACCTGGCTTTAGCGGAGGTGCTGTTCTTTTTCCCGCAGTTGTCTCAAGAGGAACTGTGAGAACTGTATTGCTTTTAAAAGTTCTTTTAAGAGCTCGTGTGAAACTCTAGAAACTTCCTCACCTGCTACTGAGATGTGACTCCTCTGCAGTGGGATGAACATGTGAAAGAATCTGGTTTTCCAGCAGCAGAGGTTAAGAGCACAACTAGGGTGCAGAGGCCCCTTGTCCCACATCTACTGGGTCCAGGCGGTTCTGTCTTTGCCTGAGTTACTAACTTCATCGTCTGAATTAAACCAAAGCTTAGATGCTCCTGAATAGTTCTCAGAATAAGAAAGAATCCACAGTCAAGTCCAACCTTGACAGCATTTATGGAAGACCTGCAGTCCTCTCTTTGTTAATCTTTTCCTCCCTAAAAATCAATCTGGTACAGACCTTTGGTGGTATTTTCACTTAGATCTAAGCCATTAAAATGCTCTTATAAGTTACTGCCAGTTAATTTAAATGACATGCTCTGAGGGCTACAACCCCCAAGTTCTATAAAATATCTCCTATGCCTCCCATAGAAATTGGAGCCTGATTTATGTGTGGGAGGCTAAGCCAGCAAAATGCCCTATGGGGAAGGTGTAGTTCATTGAAATAAATGAAATTAAATTATCTTGAATAGAATTGCAATATAGGTGCCTTCAGCAG